ATGAAGATGAAGATGAAGATGAAGATGAAGATGAAGATGAAGATGAAGATGAATATGAACATGAACATGAACATGAACATGAACATGAACATGAGAATGAACATGAACATGAACTTGAACATGAACATGAACATGAACATGAACATGGATATGAGGGTGTAGATAAACATAAACATAAACATTAAAAGCGGTAGAGACAAAGATATAGAGGAAGAAAGTGATAGGGATAAAAAGGGAATACAACTGAAGAATGTGCGATGTTATATTGTGATGTGTTATGCTACATATGTTATGTTATTGAATCTAATGCTAATCTATGTTATGTTATGATAAGTACTAAGCTAAACTCCCCTCCACTTAACCCATTCCAACAAATTTTATTTCAGCTCAACTCAACTCACATAAACTATCCCTAATTTTAGCGGTTGAATTTCAACCGCTGGGCGAACACTAGTTATATTAATTCTTATAGGCGATTTGATTGATCATAATGATCCCGTTTATCAATTTCTCATAATATTTGTACGCATTGTCGATTTAATTACACAAGATGAGTTTAACGATGATCTTCTTAAAACTCTTGAAAATTTTAACGATGATCTTCTTAAAACTCTTGAAAATTTTATTATAACATTGGCAAAATTTCACTACCGAAATTGCAATTCATCTTTAGACATACGATAAAACCTAAATTACCATTTTCAGTGTAATTTTTACAATCAAAAACAGCGCACTTAAATTTTTAATAATTTATATAAACTCAAAGACGCAGAAAAAAGCACAAACTTCAACGCGAATTGTCAAACGGTAAATATTAGGGTTACACATATTTGAAAAAAAACTTGATGTATTTTTGACTAAAATGGTGTCATTTTATAAGATAATTTTTTAGGCAAGAATTTAATTGGCAAGAAGAGAAAACTAGCAGAAAAAGTTACTGAACACAAGACTAGTAAGAATTTGCAATTGAACGGTTGCTGCACTGTTTTGACATTTCTTTTGAGGTTCAATTTTTGTGCACAGTGTTATACATACATATTTGCAAACCGAACGCGTGCATTTTAAAGAATTTGGCTAAAAATGGGAAAGATTACGCTGGAGGTGAAATGCTCACCGGGGACAATAAAAAGTATAGAAACCAGTAAGTATAAACATTAAATTAATGTACTTAATGTTCACTTATAATTTTCGTATCATGTATTTAGATGCTGAATATCAACAGCAGGTACTCGCCCAACTCTTTCTGGAAGAACCCTTTGACGAAGTAAGGTTTTCACAAATTTTAATATGGGTTTTTAAAAATTTGATTTCTTATTAAGGGCTTTGAATCAGTTGGTTTTCTTGGACGCAGCGGCAGTCACGTTGCAGCAAAAGTAAGTGGATTACATATGTAGATACATAGCTTCATATTAATAAAAATTGCCTGTTTATATTCCATTCGGATAGAGTATTGAATCGTATGAATTGTTTGGAAGCGGTTGCGGTGGTGTTGGAGCAAAAGTAAGTGGGCTTTCTTTATATATGTACGCATGTACAATGCAAAATTTCATATTAGTAACAGTTTTTTTTTTTACTTTTGACAGAGTGTTAAATCCTCTAGAGTGCTTGCAAGCGGTGGCAGTGGTGGCAGTGGTGATGGGCCAAACGTAGGTGGGTTTTATTTGTATCTACATACATAGCCTCATATTACTAAAAATTTCCTGTTTTTATTGCATTTGACAGAGTATTGAATCCTGTGAATTGTTTGGAAGCGGTTGCAGTGGAGATGGATCAAATGTAAGTGGGTTTTCTTTACATATATACTTAAGCACATAAATTCATATTACTAAAAATTTCTTGTGTTTATTACATTTCACAGAGTATTGAATCCTATGAATTGTTTGGAAGGGGTTGCGGTGGTGATAGAGTAAAAGTAAGTGGGCTTTCTTAACATACATATCTGTATTCGTATGGAATAGTAGCTTATGTC